TGGGGGGTGGTAGTGGTGGTGAGGGTAGGAGGGATTAAACATCGAGGCGATAGTCGAAACGTGACAAAAACTCTGACGCTCTTTCGCTCGTCTCGTCCCAAAGACCCTTTCTGTCATGCTTCAACTACAAAACCACAGCACTCAATATAAATATAATATACTTCAAACTACGGTTAATAATTAACAGCTGATCATGAGAGAGATGAGGAGTTAACGAGGGAGAAGAAAAAGACAATTCGTAATAAGAGATCCCCGTTAATAGGTGTTGTGAGAGAAAAAAAAAAAAAAAAAAAAAAAAAGATGGAAAAAAAAACAACAACTAGTTAGATAGAGAACAAAAACAAAATAAATGTGTAATGATACAGTAAATGAGAAACGATGTGTGAAGGTTGATTGTTTAGCGATGTACGTGCCCTAACGAAATGGCAAAATGAGGTCGGAAACGCTGCCTTCCTCGGAATGCATTTTCTATTCACCAAAACTTTTTCTCTCTTACAGCATGTTTCTCTAACCCCTCGCAAAACACATTTTAGCACGCGCATACGAATTTCCAATTCACGGTAAAACTGCGATGCTTAAAAACATCGGCTTCCCTTACCACACGACATTAAAACTAAAACACGTGGGATGTACAATTGATGGGATGGTAAGTAGTGCTATTATTAATAAAATTTCGTTGCTGTTCTGGGTATTGATGTTAATATAATCGTCGTCGTCGTCGTCGTCGTCGTCGTCGATGTCGGTGTCGGTGTCGGTGTCGGTGTCGGTGTCGGTGTCGGTATCGGTGTCGTCATCATTACTATTACTAATCATTATTAATTATTATTATTAATTATTAATTATTAATTATTAATTTTTATTAATTAATTATTAATATTCTCGTTGTTTTTCTTTTGGTTATTATTAATATTGTTGCGTGAATCGATAAGAAAGAACGTGCAGAGTGGAAAAATTACTCGTATAAAGTGTCAAGTCTCTGTATTGAACGCGCCTCGTCTTGTTACTTGACCCATCTCGCACCCAAAATACTCGTGTACCGCAATAACTTAGGCGCATTGAATTATTAATTGGCACATCCTCCTCCACAAAACTGTTATTTCGTTATGTAATATACATTTGCATTTATGAACTTATCGAATGCATAAATGATCGACTCTTATTAGTATCGTGATTTAAATGAGTTTTACAAAGTTTAAACGTGAGAAATTTTATTAAAGCGTGTACGTGAGAAATGTTAAGTAGCAATGGAAAATTAAATGAATAGCCATTATGTTAAAGTTATATAGTTATAATCATTAATATTGTGATATGATTTTAGTATGTACTCGTGGTAGTAAGTACAACGAATGAATATTAGGCCCGATTAATTAGCGAACAATAGCCAGTGTGAATGTTTCAAATGAGTCGTCTTTAATCATTAAAATGCATTCATAATCGAAATAAAAAGAAAGCCATTCGAAATCATTGGGTTTTGCTAATGTTATAGGATAGTTATTACGGTAATAATATATGTATAAACAGAGAGATAGAAAGAGGGAGAGTGAGAGTGAGAGGGGGAGGGGGGGGGGGGAGGGGG